TTTAGACTGGATTGCTGTTGAATCTTTTGTGACCATTCTCCAAAGTTTTTATGAAATGACACTTAGAATTTCAGGCTCACTCTATGTAACTTCCAATACCTTTTTTCTGAAATCTCTGACTTGTTCCTTGTCCTAAAAGATATGGTTGCCTCTCCAACTGCTTCTGTCAGTGCAATGGGGACTACTATGAAATCAAAATTAGATAAGTACTGGTGTGATCCTGAGAAGATGAACTTTCTCATCTTTTATGCAAATGTCTTAGATCCTAGGGACAAGTTTGAGTATATGCCATTTCAGCTGAATGCTTTATATGGTGAAAAAAAATGTGTTAATTCTTTCTGAAAGTGAAGTCTGGTCTAACTGAGTTATTTGTTGATTATGTGTCAAGTTATTCTGAATGTGTTGGTGGAAGTCAAAATTCAACTTTTATTTCTGGAGCATCTATGGATTCTGGTAATTCTGAAAGTAGGCCTGTGTCCAGGTTTAAGGCTGATCTTAAAAAGAAGAAGCTTGAGAGTGGTCAGTTAGGAGTTAAGAAATCTGAACTTGAAATTTATCTAGCTGAGTCCATTATTGAGGAAGATCAGGACTTTGATATTCTTAGATGGTGGAAGTTAAATAGTGAAAGGTTTCCTATACTTTCTAAAATGGCTAGGGATGTACTTGGTGTTCCCATTTCAACAGTTACTTCTGAGTCCACTTTCAGTACAAGTGGGAGGGTTTTGGACTGTTTTAGAGTTCATTAAGTTGTAAAATTGTGGAAGCCCTTATTTGTGCACAAGATTGGTTGAGAAAGGCTCACCAGCCTGTCTCAGTTGAAGAAAACATTGATGATGTTGAAAGGCTGGAAAAAGGTATTAGATTTATGTATTTTTATTTACTTATTCTGATTTCTGAAGCATCTAAATTCTAACAATGTGTTTCTTTCTTACAGAAATCATGGATGGAAATGTTGGTGGTGGAGCTTCTGCTCCTACTGGAGCCTCTATTGTGCCAACAAGTGTACATATTTCTTTTATTTATTGTACATTTTTGTAATTATGTGCTTCTTTTCCCATGTCAATGTGTTTGAACATGAGTACTTGGCTCTATTATTTAGCATTGGCTATGATGAAGCTTCCACTCATTACTGCATATACGGTTTAGGGTTGGTATTGCTCTTTCAGTACATAAAATTGTAAGTTGTATATGAAATTGTAGCAGATGCCCCCTATTTCCCTTGTGAATGATAATAAGCATTCTGAGCTTTATGAAATGTCAGCCTTAGCAGATGCCCCCTATTTCCCTTGCTCTTTCAGAGTTTCAGTTCATAAAATGGTAAGTGTAAGTTGTCCACTGAATTGCAAATGTTGGTGACTTTGGAAGATGTTAAGTATATTTGTTATCTGTATATGTTATATCCAGTATGCATGTGTAATACTTAAATTGTTAAATATATTGCATGAACTGTGTACTAATGCAGCTGACATGTCTTTTTTTGTTGTACTTGTGAACCCCTATATGCATGTATAATGTATTGTGTGCTTGTTACATTTGAATGAGTATGATTCTGTCATTATGGAAACTTGCACATGCTGCCAACTGTGAACTGTCCCTGGACCCTTGGGCCTTGTCACTTGATCTGATTTCCAGGTTTTGAGTAAGTGTCTCTTTATCCTATTAATCCTTGACTCTATCATTTATATTAATTTTCATTGGCTATGATGAAGCTTCCACACATTACTGAATGTATGGTTTAGGGTTGGTAATGCTCTTTCAGTTCATAACATGTAAGTTGTAACTGAAATTGAAGCAGTTGCCCATGTATTCCTTGTGAAGGATAACAAGCATTCTGAGCCACTGATCCTCCTTATTTATTTCATTAACTTATCCTTGAGTCCTCCTTGTGTATTGCTTTTAAGTTTCAATCAATTCAATGTGTTCATTAATTTATATTTGTATGCAGGTGGAAACTTAAGTGTGGAAAATAGCTATGGAGGTGTGGAACTTCAAGAGTTCAAGCAAGTAAAGCAACTGAGTGGGTTGGTTGAGAGTCTGAGAAATGGAAATTGGACATTTGGATAATTGGATGCATTATTTTTGCATACTTGGAACTTTGGAAGTTGGAACTTTGTATAATTATGTAATTTGTGCACACTTCTATCATATTCTGTGGCAACTGAATCTGCATTTTAAAATGTTCTGTCAAAAAAAAATTGGTATGTTAATCTGATTTTTTTGTATGTATTCTGATTTTGTATGTTAATCAAATAATGTGCTGCAATTTCATTTTTATTTATTTATTACTGTTATAAATATTAAACCGATTAAACCTGAAACCCGATCCGAACCCGCCCAACCCGAATTTCAAGATAACCCGAAATTATAAAAGAAAAAAAAGATAGGGTAGGATATCCAATTTACCCATCCGAAACCCGACAGGGTCTTGGGTTTACCAACCCGCCCGACCCGAACCCGACCGATGCTCACCCCTACGGGGGACACATACTAGATCTGACTCCTCAAACTATTTGATAAGTTCCAGGGTTGCGTCCCTGTACTTCTGCATTCGCTCTTCTTTGGCTTCGTATTCCCCTATAACTATTGGAAAGTCTTATCTAATTTGTTTAAGTCTGATCTAATCTGGTCTGAGGCTGAAAATAATTTAAGTAAAAACATCCTAAATACTACCTCCGTCCCCTTTTAAATGTCCCGGAGGAGGGTGGCACGGATTTTAAGAAAAATGGGTTTGATAAGGTAAGAATAAAGTAAGAATGATTTTGAGCCACACAAACTTTACCAAATAATGTATGACATTTAAATATGGATATCCCAATATGGTAAAACGGGACATTTAAAAGGAGACGGAAGGAGTATTAATTAACAGATTCTAGTAATATTTTTATCTTTTGATTAAAAAGAGTAATATTCGTGTCAATTGTGTTTTTATTACAAGGTTAACAATATCATCATTCAAAAAACTCTAAGTTGTGCTTTTTTACATCTATATATAACAACAACAAATATTTAGTCAATCAAAATAATGACAAAAATGAAGCAAAAGGTGCAAATAAGACACAATTGCAAGTATTCTATTTTGAGTCGTGAATAAGAAATGTTTTATCTAGTTGTATTACTGTGTAGACTTCAGATAACGTATCTTTGGGGACCACAAAGAAAAAACTTTTCTTACATCTGATTAATTTTAAGGTGATTAAAGTCTTGGGAAAACACAGTAATTGGGCAGAACAATTTGGTGGAGCTCGAATTAAAATGTAGGGATTTTTATTTCTTTATATTACATGCATTTTTCTTTTGTATTTCAATTTCCAACCGTCCAAACACTTACGTAGTATTAGTTATTACCTCATGTAGAAACAAGCCTCTTATTAAAATTATATCAACAAGAGTCCATTTGTGATTACAAAAATGCTTAAAATGTCAAAGAGATGATAACCAATACCTGATTCAAATTATTTGAAAATGTAAGGATCAAAATGGACTTTTGTTTAAAGATGAGAGAGAAACTAAAATATTTTTACTTTTAGTTAAAAAGCAGCGTTACTCAGAAACTGTAAAAAAAATCAGCACTTAAAAATTACTTTTAATGCTTGAAACATAGAACACACTAATATATGCATATAGTTGGCCAAAGAAAATCTCCATAAAAACAAATAATGGCTCATTTGATAAGTTCTGGGCTAGAACTGTTAAAGTTTATTGAAATCACTATAAATTTAGAAATTCAGTTTTCAGCTACAGTATATCAGAATTTGTGTGTGCTTGATCCTGATCTGGCCTAGTTCTGAGGTAGGCATGGAGCCGGGCCGGGCCTAGGCCCGGTCAGGCCTTTTGTGGATGGGGAAGGCCCGGGACCGGCCCGGTTGCCACCAGGTCCAGTTCAGGCCGGGCCTCAGGCCAGCTTGTAATTTTTCTTTTCTTTCCTAACTACCCCCACCCCCCACCCCCAAAACATCAAGCCCAACCCGGGGAAACCCAAAAAAGCTGGAAAAAACAGTTTTGGGCCCGACCAGGCCAGGTCCCCATTTGTGCAGCCCGAGCCCGCCCCGCTTATTACATACAACTGGGTCATAGACCGGTTTGGGGCCCAAAGCACCAGGCCCACACAGTAGCGGGCCGAGCCGGTTCCCGGGCCGGGTGGCCCGAACCAAGTCCAAGGCTATTATGAAGGCTTAATGTACCAAATCCTCTCGTGAAATATAAATTGGGCGCATTAGCTAGGGTTGGACTCGGGCCGGGCGGGCCGAACCGGAACCGGCCCAGTCACTGTTTGAACTGGCCCAGCCCAACGGCCCGGCCCATGGGCGGTTCAGGTCGACCCGGCCCAGTGGCTACCGGTTCCGGGCTCGGGCCTTCATTTTGGTGAACCGGCCCGGGCCGGATTTATTTATTTTTTTTTTTGAATTTTTTTGAATTTTTTGGGTTGGATTGAGTATTTTGGGCAATTTGAGGTGGTTTGGGGTGGTTTGGGGTGGAGGGGGAGGGTAGGGGGTTGATTAGGAAAACCGAAAAAAAAAAATTAAATAGAACCGAACCGGGCCCAGCCCGACCCAGCCCGAACCGGACCCGGGGTTACCCGGGCCGGTTCCAAGCCTCCCCTACCTTGAACTGAGGCCCGGCCGGTTCAAGGCCCGAACCGGGCCCAGCCCGGAACCGGTCCACCCCTAGCATTAGCCCTCAGTGATTTAAAAACAACAGATCATGTGCATGTTTGGTAAGTCAACCTTCTACCTTTTAACATTAATGAGTCACCATATCAAACATAATTAAATCAAACAATCAACTTTTTATCAAATAGTTATAACTTGCTCCAGATTTCTTTTAAGATCTTTTCAGTTACTAAAAGTTAACCATTACCAAAAACTCACAAATGTGAGGCCTTATGTATTTATGTTGCATTCTCAGTCTGGATGCAAATTAGGCCAAATATTATGGTTACCAGTGGCGAACCTGGAAATGTCATGTTAAGGGAGCCATACTTAAAAAAAACACACACGAGAGACATAAGCTTTTTAAATTTCTAACTTCAAAAAGAATAATCAGTACACATCTATGCACTCGAAAATAAATAGGAGAGATGCCCTCTACAACAACTCACTTTCTTCATCACGGCTACCAAACGCATCTTACACAGACAACTTCAGCATCATATGCATATTAGTATATGTTATTAGGAGGTAGATAGTGTTTGGTCGAGATGATATTAGACTAACAGAGTCAATTAGAGAAGTACAGGAAAGGCAGAGTAGTAAAGCAAAAAACTAAGTAGCCTCATTCAAAGTGACAGTACATTGAAATAACAAGCCATTCCACAATATCCTACCCCAAGAAGTCTAAGTTGGGATAACTAAACCACAGCAAGAGTAGAAATCTTGAGTGCAGACAGGAGTTGCATAAGATGAACCATCTAGCAGTAACATGCATGGATAGAATAATACATTAAGCAAAAAAATAACACAATGTTAAATATGCAATGCTCATCCTAAGCAACAACTTACAAAAAGGGAAAAAGAGTACCCTCTATTTGGGATTCCGGAGAACAATGATCACGGAATCTCCACGAAGAAACATCTTGCTGATGAACCTATCCTTATTAACAGGTTGGGCTTTCTTTTTCCCTTTGCCCGTCTTGGGAACCTGCAGAGAAAATGAAGACATAAAAAAAAAGCAAGACAACCCAAAGGAAAAACATTTAAAATCAGTATAGAATAAGATACCACCTCAGTCCACATCTCTCTAACATTTTCGAGCACCATGTTGCAGTGGCGATCAAAAGCCCTTACACGGCCTAGAAGCTTTCTGTTATTACGACAGTTGATGAGCACCTAAATTCCAAAATAGTCAAAATCATTTCACAATTCTGGAAAGAAATATTTGGGTTAAACTTGTTTGGATGGCTTGGTTTTATTTGGAAATAGGCTTGAAAAACATTATATATATCATTTAAGTTGTGTAATACCTGTGTATTGTTTCTGACACTCATCATGAGAACAGACAGTGGCCCTGTGTTGAATTCCTCTTCCTCATTCTTCCCCTGTCAAACACATTTGAATAAAGAAAGATGTACAAATTTTTAAAAAAGGGAAAAAATGATTTTTCATCTTGATATGAAACAAACAAGGAACATAGACATGTAACACTAAAATAAATCATGTAGACAGACGAATGGTTTATTTGGTGGTTATACACCAATGGCGCCATAACCAGGAACATTAGACAGTATTACATTAAAAAAATAAAAAAGTAATTGTATTGTGACATGACTTCAAGACATAAATTTAAAGGAGGATATGCAGGTTTTCGCATGCATCAAATTTGATTTACATGAATATATGGAGCTCACCAATGGAAATGCAATCTTTTATTTGTTTGATTAAACATTCTATTTATCTAGATTGACTAATCGCTCCAAAGCCTTACACTTCAAACACACCATAAAATAGACACTTAGTGATGCTTGGGAGCATGTTTACAACTCATTTTTATTTTTCGTAACAAAATGAAAATTTTCACAGACGGATCTAATAAATGCAGAGCAACACATGTTTTCCACCATAAACACATGAGATAGCAAGGTCATGAGTAAAAAGAATATTAAAGGAAACAGTTATAGATTATGCACAACTGACAGAAAGGAAAAGATGTTGCTAAACATAAAAGACCAAGCTGGTGAGCAATTAGGATAACTTACAGGGGCATCTTCTTCCATTGGTCGACTGTGTCATTGCAAAACAAGTAAATGAATTAGCAACACTCTTTATATCTTGTAAAAAATAAAAAATAATTTACTAATGGATAATGATGCTGTCTTTTATAGAGTTGCTGATGAGAGTTACACATTTTGTGTTAAATGATCCATAGCATAGAGTGAGAAATTTAAAAATCAAATTACCCTAGAGGCTGTCAATCTATATCTAACCTCAGCAATGTCTCGATCCCCAGGGGATAATTACGAGATAATTAGGATGTTTTACTTGGACTAGTTCAAACCCAGACCATAACATACCATACCAGACTTAAAGAGATCAGACCAGACTTAAACAAACCAAAACATACCAGACCAAACTTAAAGAGATCAGACCATACTTAAACAAACCAGACCAAATCAGAATTGGACAATATAGGTGTGGCAGCAGATTGAATTGAAAGATGAAAATTATGGGATGCTTCTGAGGTGCAGCAGTGGTAAAATTAGTAAGAATCCGGTATTAGCTTCAGTCCAAATATTACATGTTATGTTGGGCCCTATACAGTTATTGGCCCGATATTATTCAAAGAAGCTTAGCATACACTGGTATACATACAGTGGCATAGGTGAGCTTTAAAGTCTAGAAGGGTCTCTTGTTTCTGTTACGCCTCAACTCTAAAAAACTTCGACAAAAATGATCTATTTGGTCTCCAATTTCTAAACTTTGAACAAAGCAATAAGTAGTGGAGTAATCTACCCACAAAACCTAACTAATATTGTTCGAAGAGAAAAGAAATGGTTTTGGTTGTAAAGGAAACGATAGTGAATACAGTATCGATATAGAAACTCATAAATAATGCGATATGAAGTTATGAACATACCTCATATTTGGTTGAAAAGGGCTTCGAAACCAATCACTGCTGGAAGAAGAAGCTAGATTACTGGTTCAAAAATGAAGAAACTCGGATTTACAAAAGATACAAAACTACTACAATCGAAATTCTAAAGAAGACCAATTTATCAAATTTACCGGATGGAGTATTTACAGGCTCGGATTTAGACAGCCGACTGCTCCCGCGCTTGAATTCCTCAGGAATACGCTATGGGAGTTTGGGAGGTAAAGGGCTCCAGATGATATGCGGTAGAGAAGGTGTAAATGGGCCTATGGGCTGTTTAAATGACTTGGCAGACTAGTAGCACTCATTGCCGTCATTGGCCTTAAACACCAAAGTTAATAAGTGTCTTATTTAGGGGTGGGCATAAAAACCGCACCTAACCGGTACCGAACCAGCCCGTAATGGTACCGAACTGAATATCGGGTATATAAATGGTTCTATATAATTTTATCCCGAAGCAAAATCGTACCGTTTCAAACGGGTACGAGACCGGTCCTAGATTTCGAGAACCGAAAAATACCGGACCGAACCGTTCAAAAATAATGTCTTTGAGATTTTTTTTATATTTTTCCATACACATAAATATCTTTTATAGACCAACACCTTTATAGCCCAAGTATGTATCGATCATAGGTGTGTGTTATATAAATATTACGGAGTATTATTTTTTCCTTTTAGATAATTAATTTATGTTATATTTGGTATATAATGAAAGAATGTCAAAGTTTTAAAAAACTTTCATGATTATTAATTTCTAGTAATGTAGTGTAGATGACTTTTGTTGTATCATACTCCGTATTTGTGTAGTTTTATAACTTAATTAATATGGTTTGAATCACAACTCTTAAGGTTCAACTATGAACTATATTAGAATTAATATTCAACTTAGAACAAAGAAGAAGAATATTAAATGTTTGTATTCTGTTCAATAACTTAACGATATTCTTTTTATATGTTCTAGTGAATTTCATAAAGATGATATTATACGATAGTACATTGTCATTTTGCAATATTTTTACTAAATGTTTGAGTGTTTTTGAATTTAAATACAAAAATGTCAACCTCTTGAATCTTTTCTAGTATTTAGTATGCACTTTCTAGTATTTTTTATCATAATTTCACGTCAATTGGCTCGCGTGATGATATCTACTAATTGCAAAATTTGTTCAAATGTTTCGGCATGTGTTTAGCATTATACCGAACCGTTTTGTACCGTTCCGAAACGACATGGTACCGAATGGTTCTATCCTTAGAACCGGACCGTACCGAACCGTTAGAAACCTCATAGATACATTACGGGTTTTGCTAATTTACCGGACCGTTCCGGACCGCTCCCACCCCTAGTCTTATTGAAATTTTGTAATGTATTCATTCGGGAAATTTGTAAAATTAGTCCCGTAACTTTTGGTGGTGCCCGATATTGGTCCTCTAACTTCATTAACTTGCATAATACGTCCTCTAATTAACATATTTGTCCAATTTCAGGACATTTATGTCGGAAAGTAATAATTCCGTCGGAAATTAACACATCAGCGTCAATTGTTCATATTTTCTTCATATGGCCTAGTTGACCTAGACTTGAGACCCTGTTTTTGGTTCCCTCCCAAACACTCCTTATTTTAAAACATCCCGCACATAAAGAAAACACTCTCTGATTCATAAAACATTAAAAAATAACTAGATTAAACTGAATACAGAGTAGTAAATAATACATCTTCAATTTATTTCTTATAAATTCCAAATACGAAATTGTAAAAATGAACATAAAGAAAAAACTGTACTTCAGGATATTTTTTTTAAAAAAAATCATGACACTTATCAATTTTAAAAGCCTCCATTTGTAACCATAGAAACGGTCCAGGTAAAAGACAACTCGTTAGTTTTGCTAATCAACTGTTATTCTTGTTCCAATGTCTTGTTAGAACCTTTAACATTAGAATTTTTTTCTCTAATATCAAAGTAATACTACATATAAAATATTTAATTTTTTCAAACAAAATTCGAAACCTACAAAATTAAAAAGTTTAGAGTTCTTACTCTGTTTCTAGAGCACACATGGAACCTCCTTCTCTCGTCATATGTCAGTCTATGAAGTTGAAACACCGGCCTTCTTACCACAATGATATTCCATAGATCCTTGTCTGAGCCATTATTTGCACTTTAGAGGAACACACACTCACCTTCCTTTCATATGTGGAGAAGCGAGACCAAGAATTACGAAGCCTGCGTTCTTCTCTTAGGTTTTGTGCTTTTATTGTTCTAATGGGGGATTTGGGAGATCAGAGCACAGTGAAGTGTTTGGGAATAAGTCATAAAAGGGGCCCACATCCAAGTCAGCTGCAAACGTTAGGAAAAGATTACAACAACGGGAGATTGACATGTTACTTTCCGGCCAAAATTTAACTTCCAATGGCAATGTCTTCAAATTGAACAAATATATTAGTTGAAGGATGTATTTTGCAAGTATGTAAAGTTATAGGATCAATATCGGCTATTGGCCAAAGTTACAGGACTCTTTTAACAAATTTCCCGTATTCATTCCATAAAAAAAGAATTGTATAAGAGTGATATATATTGTAATGTATTCCTTTAAGAGTAAAAAAAATTGTAATGCATTCTTTTAAGAGTCTAAAAAAATTAGATGTATTCAAATTTTCATTCATTCTTATGGATTTTAAAAATCATGAATCATAGTGGAGTTTTAAATCAAACTACCTCGGTCTCATAAAATTTGGCCAAAATTTATTTTCACGTAGAATAATAAAGTAAAAATTGTGTGGTTGATATATGTGTAGACGAGAGAGAAATAATTTTAGCAACATATTTGTTACTTTAAATAGAAATTACAAAGTTTTTTTGAGCAACTAAAGAGAACTTGGCTAAATTTTATGGGACGGGTGTACTGCGTATTTTATAGTATTTCATTCTTCCCTTATCACTCTCTCATCTTACCTTTTTTGTTTTTCCAAAAAACTTTTCACTTTCCCTTTTAACTAATTATTTACTCGAGATCATGAACTAGCCAATCTTTCATGGACTAGTGTTGAGTTGAAGGGTGGATACGAGAATGGTCTCGATATGCAATGTTTGTGAATTAAAAGGAACTTTGATGGGATTAATACTAAAATAAAATTAGTTAATGGACAAAAAAATCGAAAATGTGACTATTAAACCAATGGTATCATATTGGTTCAATGTGTGTATGTTATCAATTATCCGTTAACAAATAAAAACATATGTAATTGTTATCCTGTTCATCATAAGTTGCTAACTCATAAAAATGTAATATCAAACTAATAAACAATTTAATCGTAAATAAATATATAAATTTTAATAAGCTAAAAAATGAAAAGAAAACAATTATTAAGAGAAAAATATATATTACACTTATGCTCGTACGGTCGTACCACACCTAACAATGAGTTCAACAGTTGTGTAATAATGACCATTCTTACTAATTGACTAGTGTAATATAACTGATGGAGCACATGGTCGTGAATCGCTTACCCACATAATCATACTACACAAAAATAGGCCCAATGGGTCGTAGAAAGCCCAACAAACAAGCAACCACCCTTTGGACAGGCCACCGGTAACTGTGGGCCACGATAACATACATAATGGGCTATTAACAAAATTGACCCAAAAAGATATTGTCACTCATACGACCCCTCGGCATGAGCCCCTGGCCTTGTCTCTAGAACCTTTGGTGGTTTGGTCCGGTTCTCTATGCCGAGCAACTTTCAATAACAACGCACCATCATGAGACCGAGTTTGCTAGTCACCCCCCCCCCCCCCCCCCCAATTTTGAATTCTCTGATAAAAATAAACTCAGATGTTTACACATGATCTATTCTATTAGAACCCCGCATAACCGCATTACTAGATGAATATACAAGACAACATCGGGATAACTGCTATAGATGTGATCGTAAGCCTTAGAAATAAACATAGAGTCAATCACCTTGTACAAAGTAATCTGGCTCGCTAGATACAAAACGAGCAATTTTTTGCCTAAAACGATCAGAATTGAAACAAATCATTATCTAGAAAAAATTCTCAAAATATCCAAATTTCCAATCATACCCACTTGAACTAAAGAAAAATAATACTGAAACAGAGTATTTCCGCAAATTTATTTCTGGTTGGAATTGGTTCCGGAGGAGCTAGGGCGAGTGTCTACAATATCTTTATCTTTTCTTTATATATATATATATATATATATATATATATATATATATATATATATATATATATATATATATATATACTAGCGTGGGCGCGCGCGTTGCGCGACGGGTGGGGCCCAATGATGGGCAGAGTGAGAGTATTAAAGCATAGCAAAAAAAGGGCGCAAATCCTTTTACAAGAGCATAAAAAAAGAGTTTGACGTTGTTTATTACAACATCCTGGGCATTCAAAGTTTGAGTTAAGAGTGTTTGGGGCAGCAAGTTTTAACAAAACATAACAACAAACAGGGGAACAACAGGGCGTTCAAGGATCAGGCAGGGTCAGCAACATCATCGCGGGCAGCAGTACGTATCTCTTATGTATTAGTTTCACGTGACAGCTCCTCTATGCTGCATGATGAAATTGTTAGCAACAGTGCCCTACCCCGACCATGTTTCAGAAGGAAAAGAGTGGAACGTTGCTTGAGGCCAAAAGTCTGTTAGATCTGCCGCAGAATGGGTTGTGCCCCAGTTCCAAAATAAGCATCGTTCTTGCCCAATAAAAAAGACAATATACCAGAAGGGAAAAAAGATATAGTGCAAAAACTGCAGTGAATAAAAATACTTAGGATGTTTTTACTTCGACTGTAATTTGTCCCAGACCAGTTCAGACCAGACTTGGACATTTATAAAAATACAAAGAAACCAGACCTTATCAGACCAGACCAGACCAGCAAATTACAGTCCAAGTAAAAACATCCTAACTTAGTATTATAACACAATCCAGATTTGTATTGACACTGCAAAACTCAAGAAATGACCTCATCTTGTTCCACTACACTAATCTTCCCTAGAATATAAAGATCGTCATTCCCCAGTATGCTCTATTTAACCTAAGATCCTCGAGCACCACAAACTCAAAGTCATCCTTACTCGGGATGTAAGAAAAACAGGCTCACATAATGACCCACTTTGCATTCCAACAATCCCATTCATGTTTCATTATTTTATATTGGTAAAGTTAATCTTTAGAGTGATAAAGTGAAACCATTTCTACGCTCTGTGAATTAATAAAAAGGAAAAGGCAGAAAAGAAAATCACAAGATAACAAAAACAACTCAAACCTTTTCAACTGATAAGATGTA